GTTTGACAACTGCCCTCCAAGGCGCCTGAGGTAGGGTAGGAAGGCTGTGATGGTAGGCAAAGGCAAGTTTGACAACTGCCCTCCAAGGCGCCTGATGTAGGGTAGGAAGGCTGTGATGGTAGACAAAGGTAAGTTTGACAACTGCCCTTGCGGTACGGTAGGAAGGCTGTGATGGTAGCCAAGGCAAGTTTGACAACTGCCCTCCATGGCGCCTGAGGGAGCGTAGGAAGGCTCTGGCAATAGTCAAGGCTACTTTCACACCTGCCTTCCCTGGCGCCTGAGGTAGGGTAGGAAGGCTGTGATGGTAGGCAAAGGCAAGTTTGACAACTGCCCTCCAAGGCGCCTGAGGTAAAGTACGAAGGCTGTGATGGTAGCCAAGGCAAGTTTGACAACTGCCCTCCATGGCACCTGAGGGAGGGTAGGAAGGCTCTGAAGATAGTCAAGACTACTTTCGCACCTGCCCTTCCTCAAGTTTGACAACTGCCCTCCAAGGCGCCTGAGGTAGAGTACGAAGGTTGTGGCGTTAGCCAAGGCAAGTTAGACAACTGCCCTCCCTGGCGCCTGAGGTAGGGTAGGAAGGCTGTGATGGCAGGCAAAGGCAAATTAGACAACTGCCCTCCATGGCACCTGAGGAAGGGTAGGAAGGCTCTGGTGGTAGCCAAGGCTCACAACTGCCCCTCTATGGCACCTGAGGAAGGGTACGAAGGCTCTGGTGATAGTCAAGGCTAGTTTCGTGACTGCCCTCCATGGCACCTGAGGAAGGGTAGGAAGGCTCTGGTGGTAGTCACGGCTAGTTTCACGACTGCCCTCCCTGGTTAGACTACTTGTGCATGAAGAGAGTATGCACTATGGCACTACCTCTGGATGATGGTTCTTTTTGTTTGTGTGTGTGTGCGTGTGTGCGTGTGTATCGTAAACCGTCACCGTATTAACCGCATGAAGCACAATAAGATGACCAGATACAAGTGTGTGTGTCAATGTGTGTGGGTGTGTGTGGGTATGTGTGGGTGTGTGCGGGTGAGTGTGGGTGTCTGTGGGTGTCTGTGTGCCTTGAGGACAGTTGATTTGATCGCCATAGTCCCGTCCAAGGCACAGAAAAGAAGACCTTCATCGTCACTTGCGAGCGCCTGCAAAGCACTGAAGATTTGACGCGTAGTGTTGATAGTTTGGTTATGTTTCCAGAAAAAAGATTCTGCCTTCCAGAAAAAAGATTTCGTTTTCCGAATCCAGAAACCAGTACTACCAAAGTGGCTATACATACCAACTTCATCACAGATCTCTTTGAGGAGATCGGCTGAGGAGGAAGGTGGGACGCCGAGTGAGTGTTAGTATTCTCTTCAGTGAGATTACTTTCTGCACTTGGACCTTTCATCTGTGCAAGTGTGATTGTGAACACTGTGGACGCCACACGCAGAACGTCCTTGCTACCGTCTTCACCTGAATAGCACGCTTGGTCATTATCGCTGCATTTGGACTGAAAGTTGCACCAAATACAGCTACAATGACCGGGCGATCTATTTGGGCGAAGGCAGTAGCATGGAGATATGCAGGCAGTATAAGCCCGGTAACCGTGGACGAACTGTGAGTGAAGAGTGGAGGTAGGGGTTTCTTGCGAACCTGATTCCCGCCGCCAGTCATTTTGCTCCAGAGACCGAGCCCCGAAAGTTGCAGCCGTATGCAAGCCACATATTCGGTTTTCAAGCGGGGAATCGTACTGGTGGTTCAAACCGCCAGTACACGGCCCCAGCCTTGCCGGAAATGTAACTCGTCGCCTCCAAAATTTCCGGCGGCTCAGCCTACCGGACCACAATGGCCGGCGGCACCAACCAAAAAAGAAAGAAAGTGCGCCGCTGGCGGTTCGGAAAAGCTTGGCGCACAGTAAGGCGCATCCAGGCCCGGGTGTACTGGTGGTGGTATAAGGACTATCCCTGCAGTGGAATAGCAATGAGTGGAGCAGATCGAGAGGAGGGAAGGAGGCAGCACAGGTACAGAGGGGTGGCCCTGTGGTATGTAGGAGGGAGGAATCCAGATCCAAGGGAGGACAGCTAGAGAGGAGGACAAGGAGGAAGAGGAGAAGGAGAGTAACAAGGAAAACAAACACAAGATGGAGACGACGATGCAAACGACGATAACCTCAGCGAAACAGAGGAAGGCAGAGCAGCAGGAGGTGGATGAGGGGGAGAGGAGGAGGAGGAGGAGGAGGACAGGACGAGGAGCAGGAGGTGAGAAGGAAAGAAAGGTGCTCGTGATAAATTTTCCCCTTGGTCATAGTGATGACAATATAATGCTGATGCTGATGCTGATGCTGATGCTGATGCTGCTGATGCTGATGCTGATGCTGCTGCTGCTGCTGCTGCTGATGCTGATGCTGCTGCTGATGCTGCTGATGCTGCTGCTGATGCTGCTGCTGATGCTGCTGCTGCTGCTGCTGCTGATGATGATGATGATGAAGATGATGATGATGATGATGATGATGATGGGGCCAAGTGTGCGTAGGAGCCAGTATCAGGGGTCGAGGAACGGAAGGCCAGGTACTTTCTGCACTACACGGGGGAGCCAGGTCCATTGTATATTCATTTGCAGCAACACAAATAATAAGAGAATAAAGTTGAATAAACATCAAACAAAGAGGGAGAAATTTTCAGAAAAACAAAAACAAAAAAGTTATTTCCCAATTGCAAACAGAATTGTTTCTTGCCCTGTTGGACACAGACCATAAACCAACTCCTCTCTTTCTTTCTTTCTTCCTTTTTCTTCTTCTTCTTCTTCTTCTTCTTCTTCTTCTTCTTTTTTATTTTTTATTTATGTTATTTTATTTTTTATTTTAAAAAAAAGGCTCCTTAAACTCCTCAACCTAGATATAGCTAAGGGGACCATGCCCCTTACAATCCCCAACCCAGGAATAGCTAACGGCACCCTGCTGGCCTGAACATGAAAAAAGAGCCTTTTTCTCACTCACTCTTTCCAGTGCTTGATGCAGTGCATCTCTTCCTCCAACTAACAGCCTTGCAACCTGTGAACCATAAGAAAAAAGCAGTCATGGACTCAATGCAGGTTTTCCTTTTTGGTATATATATATATATATCGTCAAATAGAACTGCCCGGTAAACCGTAGGCAGAGAGGGAGAAGAGGACAACAAACGAGGGGCTGTGACAAACTGTTTCGTCGGAGTTTGGTATATATATATTTTTTTTTTGGGGGGGGGAGAGAGGGCTTAACACACAGATAGAAAGCACAGCTGGATCGGACAGTTGATGTTCTGTTCCTTACACCCTCCCACTCTTCTGACGGCTGCTGAGGCTTGTCTGCAGAGAGGGGGGGGGGAGGGGGAGGAATTGTACCCACTACATACATACATGGATGATGGAACCAACAAACTGGGGATCTCACCGAATTAATTACTTAAGATTTAAAAACTTATAAAAAGCCGGGGGGGGAAGGCATCATGTTGACTTTCAGATAATGTTAATGTACCATTATCCTATGGATAAGAACTTGGACCGTTTCGCAATTTATGCATGTCATCCTTCATCCTTGTGCAGGGGCCAATATGCTAATTAGTAATTACCCTTCTCTGTATCATTCCAATTTTAAACCACCAGTACCTCCGAGCCTGTTTTTGCCGACCCTGATTTTCACTGCGCTCCGAGTTTTGCCGACCACTCCATTTCTTTATGGTATTCTCACGGGAAGAACAAAAAAAAAAAAAAAAAAAGGAGAAAAGTTGCGGCCGTGAAAACTCACAAAACAAGAAAAAGAATCAAAGCTCTGGACGTGATTGCAGCTGTATACATTCTCGGAAGTGTTAGTGTGAGTGTGCCCTCAGTGAGGGCATCTCAGCCCCGTGGCCAGGTTGTCAGATTCCAGAAACTCAAAAAAAAAAAAAAAAGACAGGAACACGGATTCGGCCGTGAAAATGGCAAGATACATTCCCGTAAGTGCCAGTGTGATCAGGGTTACAATCCTCTGAGGGAACACAACTCCAGCAGATCACGGATTCAGATTGTCAGATTCCAGAAAAAGAAAACAAGAAAAAAAAAACGGGAACACGGATTCGGCCTTGAAAACGGCTGGATACATCAGGGTGACAATCATCTGAGGAAACACAGCTAGAGCAGATCATGGATTCCGCCCTGCCTCGTTGGCAGGGGTCACATAACAAACAAAAGAGAAATAAAAAAAAGAAAACAACAAGTTCAGAATGTGACCGTCTTTGTTGTAAGATGCATTCAAGACTGTGAGCACGGCCTCCTAGACTACCCTGCCCGACATCATTGCAGTACAAAGACCTTTTTTTTTTTCATTTTTCTTTCGTGCACGGGCAAAAGAAAACTACGATTTTTGGGACATTGCCGACCCTGTGTCCGAGCCCCGAAACTTCGGGTACTGGCCAGGACAACGTAATTTCCCAACACTGGCGGAGGTACTGGTGGGATGTCCCGAAGGACAAGACACGCCAACACAATTCTGAGTTCTCCATAAGATTAAAAAAAAAAAAAAAAAAAGGCAAGACTCGTTAAAAAAGAAAAAGAAAAGAACAAAAAAAAAAGAAAAGAAAGAAAGCATACTTGCAACCTCACGGGCAGCACAGCCGTGTGGTGCAATCCACTGTGCTCTGCACGGCACCTGCTCGTGCGCCGCACCAGCAGCCAATTTCTTCTTTTTTTCCCCTTTTTCTTTTGCTGTTTTCTAGCATAAGAGTGTGCTACCTAGGGAGCACGTCCTGTTCCTGTACAGTTGTACAAATTTTCCTCGTTTCCTATTGGATGTGATAAATATTAAATTTCCTATCAGATAGGTCTTTGGGGACCAGTGCGCACCGTTAGGCGGCGACATTACGATCCCAACTCGTCTTTTTTCCTTTCTTTCATCCTACAACAAATTTTGGAAGGGGATGCAGGTGACCACTGATCCAAGCCTGTGACTGTGGGACCCGTTTTTTTTGCCAGGCGCACAATTTCCCGCGCGCGTGGGTGGGTGGGGGGGGGGTAATGTCGCCACCGAATGGTCAAGACTGCACGGAGCTCATCGACAATTACTTGGGGAGGAGAAAGTTTGTATCCAGGTGCGATCAGATGAACGGTAACATAATTCCGAATTAATTACTTGGGGCCAGTCAGCTCCATGATGATATCTCCATGCCTTCGCCCTTGCGAAAAGGAAGAGGAGAAAAGGAGAGAGAGGAGAAGAAGAGGAGAAGAAGAGGAGAAGAAGAGGAGAGGAAGAGGAGGAGAGAAGATTTATTAAGAAAAACAAAAAACAAACAACAAAAACAAACTACTCCCTTTTTAAAAGTGCAGCCCAACCCCTAGTGTTAAGTCTCCATTATTTGCAACTGGACTGTCAGACAGCGGCGGCCGGTTTATCGAGTGATGAAAAGATTGCCCATCGGCATTGACAAAAAAAATTAAAAAATGGTCATCGTCATTCCAATTCCAACAGCTGCGATGTCCCAAATATCGAGCGATGAAAAAAATGGCCATCATCATTGCCCAAAAGAATGGTCATCGTCATTCCAATTCCAACAGCTGAGATGTCCCACACGAAGGACAGGCGGTGTGTCCCCATCATTGCATTGGTCTTCGACTCTTCGTACTTTCTTCACTGCTCAGCCTCTTTGCAAGCCAGCACTGTAAGTTACCTGTCAATTTGTCAGACTGTGTTGCAGCACAGTCTTCTGCGTGCAGTATCAAGCTCTCAATCAACATGAATAAGATGCTTTTTGGTGCATTCGTATATATATCGTCACAAACAGAACTGCCAGAACTATTGACTAAGAGCATGCGCACGTGAAGTAGAAGAAAAAATAAGATGAGCAAAGAAAAGAAAAATGAAAGGACAGACAGGCAAAGAGACAGACAAACCA